ATATATATATATATAAAGCCCTAGAGTGGGAAGGGATAAAGAGTGGGTGAGGGAGGGGACCTAGTGCTGGCCTGTGTCAAACATTCTGAGGTGTTTACACCTCTAACTTCTCAATCAGACAATGTGGAAAGAAACTGATAGCACGATTAGCTGCCATTTCTTGCAACGTCTACAACCGAGCACAGACAGGGTCACGGGGACCTCATCCGGAAAGGCGTACAGCAACAACTACACCCAAACTCTTCGTGATCTCTTTCACGCCTTTCTGCCAAGCCATGTGCTGTCCACCTCGCGGTTTGCGCCGTCCTGAAGGAGGCACAACAACACTAGTCTCGGTAGGTGGCATTTTGGCATGCGTATAACATGACTGAGCCATCGCAGACATGATGCTGGATGTTTTTTTGAATTGAAGTGTCTGCAGCACACCTCGGTACTGACGCGCTGACGCCATCCAAAACCAGCCACGCTTCTGAGGCATCAGTGATCGAAAACCTGAAGACGTCTCACATCATCTGTCCGCAGAGGCCATGCCTCGAACCCGTGCAACCTTTTCCAACTTTCGTACAAGCAACGACGGCTTTTGGAAGATAGTCCACGAATTCCCAATCTCAGAAGAAGATAGATAGACATACAGAGTGACCCATTAGGGATTGAAACTGCCAAAAGGGTGCTCGGGAATGGATAATCGCGGTTTAATTCTGTATAGCTGCGCCCTGTATTTTTATATTAACTGTTTTGCCCTATTGACCACCTGCCTAAATAGACAGACTTCGGTCGGTCACACCAAACGGCTCTATTAGAATAGAGCTGTGAGGTAAGGTCTCTGCGACCGGTGGAACTGCGACGTCTTCAGATCTTCAACAACTGTTTTCTCAGAAACGTGACACTTTGAAACCGAGTCTTCGATTTTGCGGCATTGACTTCAATCGAATAATAGGTCTAGCATTCCAAACCATCGTTTGGAGAGAGGAGTTCTCTTTTCTGTGCCAAATTCAGAATGGCGCAAGAAAGGAGGTGATCAAACTTTGACCTAACAGGGGGAAATTACATCAATTCCGAAATATCTTGGTGCGGTTGGTGCTACTCTCCTTCCAGGATAGAGTTCGCAAGATCTTCCCCGTGCATGGCTGGAGACGCTGCGAAATATGGCTGCCAACCGATGTCAGTGGCGCTCTTGTTGTCAGTTTCTATTCAGATTACTTGAGTGAATGTCTGGAGGTGTAGGCACCTCGGAATGATTGTGATAAGCTAACACTTAGTCCCTTCCCCGTCCATCTTCGTTTTTTTCTTCACAATAAGGCGTCGAAGCACTACTGCTGAACACTGATGTTGTGCTGTCAATGGTGATGATGACGAGGGTGAGGATGACCACAATGCGGTTCCGATGGCAAAAATTAAGGCTAGGTTTTTTCGTGTCCGACCACGCCTGACTTCCTTGATGCTATAAGCCATTGCTGTCGCCACTGGTGTTGGAGAAATACGGACGGAAACATTTGCAAAAGGGACCTAACGAAAGAGGGGACTGATTATGTCTTTTCGACGACAGACCCAATGAGGGACGTCCGCAGGAACTAGAAAGACATACATTTGAAAAATGCACACACAGAGGCAAGAAGATCCTCTTCTTTAGAAAGAAGGAAGCAAACAAGATGAAGATCGCCGTGAACTCTCTCAGACATTGTATAGAAGTAACATACTACACTTCGACCCTATAAGTAGTGTGTTGCGTCTATACAAGGTAGTGTGCCACCCGCGTATCGTATCAAATAAAACATGAGGCGGCCTGGTACAGCACCTTTACTTGAAGAATATCATAAACGAGGGATTCAGTTGGGTTAAAACCAAATAGATTTGCAAATGAGTGTATCGCGCTAATCTCTCATTGTTTGGTCGGCAAACCGTTTTGGGTGGGATAGATTTTATTGGTTGTTCTTCGCTTGCCCCAGGCAGATGAGTTCTATTTTTAGAATCACTTTTTGCCCCCCCCCCTCCGCCCTAAAACTTTCCACGTGAGCTTTATAAACAGCCCGTTTCGGCCGACAAGCCTATTCCACGTGAGCTTTATAAACAGCTCGTTTCGGCCGACAAGCCTGTACGCCTCAGTGTTCAGGTGTGGATCAGCTGATTCGCAAGCTAATTGGCTTTCTGGTTTGGCTAAGCGCATCAGGCTATCAAGCGGCTATCCAGACTCGGGTTCACAGTATTGAGAAGGCATTAGGAAAACTGCGGACCACAACAGTTATCCCCTCCCAAAGCTGCTACCCTGGACTACACATGGAACGCCTGTACGCGTCAGTGTTCAATAGATCAGCTGATTCGCACGTTCATTAGCTTTCTGGTTTGGCTAGACTGACTCGGGTCCAAAATAAGAAATCGTTCAGCTGTAACACCTTTCGGGTGTCTAGCTGCCATGCGACCTGACTCTGGTTCGCGGTATTAAGAAGGCATTCGGAAAACCATAGCCCACAATCTACCGTAACACACGGAAGTCACAGTCGAACCGTCAAAGTGGTTGATAGCAGTTTTAGCTCTGATGAGGGCAAGTGATGATCGGCAGGTAGATATTACCACATTCCTGCACAACCAATCGCCGTGTAATAGTAGCTCAACGCGCTACGTGCTTGAATATGCACTCATAAAGAACTCGTTATTCCAGACAAAATCTTGTGATCTCGACAACGGAGGACGAATCTCCGTTCCAAAAGAAAGGCAGTGTGCACTGACACGAGAACTCGTGTGGACGGAATGAAAGCATCCCGAAAAAACCCTCAAATAGATGCAAGTTTCCAGGTGATCAGAAAAACAACACAAGACCACAAACCTGGTGACTTTCGGTGATGAGCTGGACAAAGACCGCGCGGCTGAACTATAAACCGTTCTACCCCTGGTCACGGAGGACTTTGGAGTTAACAATACCGTCCCACAGGGTATGGTGCTTTCCGGACTCGGATTTTGAGGGCCAAGTTGTGGGTCCAATAAGACACGACAAAGACTAGATGGCGCTTCGGTGGTAGGAGCTATCGCCGGAGTAAAAGGGATTGAAATGGTGGTCGGCAACGGCGTCGAGCATGAATTATCTGTCAACTGAGACTGGTAACTTGCCGAAGAAAGAGTTACTGAGTTGCCAGAAGTTGGTAGAGTGTAGACAAATGGTGAATGAACTCTTGGCCCATTCGTTCCAGGTGGCGCGAAGAACGGAAAGCTACTTTTCGGATGGGCTACCGTAGAACTGGGTGTCAAATCCCCTGCGATCGAGGATGCTAGATCCGGTGGACATTTAGGACGTGGCGTCCAAGCGTTATAGTGCAGGTTTCCAGCAACAGGGACCAAATCATCCGAACTCGGTTGTGAGACTGGTGCAATTCTGCCAAGTTCGACCAACTGTGGTGTTTGTGAATAAAACGTTGATTGGTGAAAATAAGATGGTGAAGTTGTACTACTTGTAGTGCCGTAAGTTTCGTTCCCGTCATAGTCGGAAGAATCACTGTTGCTTGTGGAAGGAAAGTCTTCAAGCAATAGTTGGGTAAGTGAAGAGAGGGGGCCATTGGAAACACGAATAGAGTTTGTAGGCATATCGATTTGTGAGACGTATCGGGTTCTTGTGATGTGGTTGGACGTGTGCATGGAGTTGGGAGCCGCCAGCTGTGGTGTAGGTGGTCCACTTCGACGTCGTTTGTTTCTGCCTACTGGCTCTAAGGAAGCCGTTGCCAGACTGCTCATCGCACCGGAGGTCTCCAGTATGGGCGATGTAAGACGAGAGGATGAGTGCACGGCCATTTCACGAGTGCGATTGTTCACGATCAGCTGATGGTTCAAACCACCCTCAGAAGGACGACGTGCCAGAGACTCCAAGTGTCCAGGTATCACAGACAGCGAACCAGGCTCCGAAGTCGTCTGAATCAGAGGAGATAAGAAATGGAAGAAAGCGTAAAGAACTGGGGTATGTTTGTCCTTACATAGGTATAGAGTGCTCTGGTGAAAAATATCCATCCTGGAGCTATCAAGCCACCCGATCCACTAGCTTCAAGGTCATGCTGTCTAACCGTGTGGCAGAGATACTACAATCACCCTTTGAACATCATTTCAAGTCAGGAAGTTTCCTAACGACATCCTTACCAACCCAAGCGAAGTTGAAAGAATCATACTGCAACGGAGGCAATGACTAACGAAAAAAGTAAACTGCAGAAGAGCTCGGAAAAGTAACAAAAGCGCAGGAACTATTCCACTGCCAAGAGCATTTGGCAAGAATCGTATAGTATGAGGAGAAAGTGAGGCAGGGGGGTGTGAGCGTGGTATGGAGCATCAAGCAGAGAATACCTAGTATGGGTTTAAATTTGGTGTGAGGGCCGGAAAGTCATCACATTCTTAGGAATGAGCGGTAATAATACCATCGATATACATCTAGCAAAGCTGGCAAACTGAACAAAATTGGCTCGTGATACGGATGCGATATATTGACTTTCGATTATTATGAGATAATCATCCGACTGTAGCAACCTTTCCGTGCCTAGCTGCCATGCCACCCGAAGGAAGCACGAGAGCTGGGATACTGTCAAGTTGCCCAAGCCTAGACAAGAGAAGTCGAGATGCAGAGGTCGGGTTCGAACCACGGACCTTCTGGTGAGTTAATTCGCGCTCTGACCACTGAGCTATGAATATGGTTGGAACGTCTTAGATTCGGTCAAAAAACGGCTGCGCACTCAGTCAAAACACACTGGCCTCATTGTACGGTTACGTACGATAACACAATAGTGACACTAAGTGATACTAATAACAAATGTAGATAATATGTATTATTGCATTACAGAGCTGTTCGCACCGGTGATTCCCTCATCCGGAAATACACGTACCATTGAAGACCGATCGAATACCAAGAAACATTACCAATATTCCAAGGCAACAGCAGTAACACCAGTCTTGGTTACTATCTCAATCAATGAACTCTCAAGCTAGGCACGCGAACCCGTCATATCCCCCGTCTCACGAAATAATGCTGTGTGTCTAACACCCCAGGTTCGACATCGCCGGAAAGGTTCGTCCCACCTCATCAGTTGCACATGCAGTAGAACCAGACATCCCCGGGAGTCACCGAATCCCATCCTAGTCAACCCCGCACAGCGATTTACTATCCATACGTACTGTTCCTATCGTTTTTTGGAGCCTGAATGACACCATGTTTCTGCGCTGTTCGGATGAGCATGAGACCGAACAAGATATAGCTGATAGACAATTCAAATCCGGAGTTTGTCGCATTGGTCAAGATGAAAGTCAATGCGAGCGAACTCAGCTGCACTGGTCATTGCCGTCTTTCTGAATGGGGACTCCGAGATGGGCCACATTAATGGTTGGAGACATTGTCAAACATGGCCCAGTCGCGTCCTCAATGGCGCTCGTGAATCCAAGCTCTTTTCACAATTCCCCCACTTAAACGTCCACTGACAGTCGTGTCTTTACGCATCAATTTATCAGCCCCCGTCTCCAATGCGCATCTACCTACCTCCCCCCCCAAATCATCGGTGAACGAAACTGCGTCAGCTACAACCACTGCACGACAAGTACGCAGTACTTAAAGCTGATAATGATGATGATGACATCGGTCAAGATAGAAAACACAGCAACGACAATGATAGTGAATATCCAGTATAGACTCACAAGTGAATTCGAACGAGGTTTTCCCAATCCTACCGAGTTGGGGGTGGAAGGGTCCAGCAGATGCTGACCAATGAAACGACAAAGAAGTGGGGAAATTGGGAAGTGAATAGGAACTCGTCCGAGTGTACACAGTGAAATCAGAATTTAAAACAGCAAAATAGTTGACTGGTTCAAATCCACTCCCAACATTCAGAACGTTCCCGTCGAGGTATGTCCCATTCAAGTTTTATGAGAGTTCCGGACCGAGTGTCACAGTTAGACGACTTACTCACTTTACAAGCACTGAGTCCAGGTGAATAACCATACATAAATTATTGAGATACAAATCACTGAAGGGTGTGGTGTTACAAACAACCCACCTATCTGGATCAATAAAAAAAGAAACATTTAACAGTAAGCCAATAAATCGAAAACATAGAACTCGGGGCGAAAATAAGTCACCTGGTCAGCTGCTATGTGGTCAAGCGTACGAATGATCAACAAAGAGATATTACCCATTCAAAATGACTGAAAATAAATACACTCCAAAAACATAAATTTATTTTGCCTGGATCTCAATCTTTCCAGTTCACGTGACCTGGTGAAACGGGCGGAAATGCTCAGGTGTAGAGCAACGGGTTAGATAGATAGATAGACTGACAAGTATATCTGGCCACCATCACATGATCTGGTTTGTCTATCAGCGGGTGGCCGTAAAAACCGGAAATAAACGAAACAACAGCGTGAAGATCACTATAGAAAGAAAGCCTGAGAGACAGAGACAGAGATGAACGATCCCGAGGTGAATGGATTCGAGGAATGAAACAGATAGGATGTTAGGCGGGATTCCACACGTATCCCGCTTTACCGCTCGCAGTCAGGTGCTGCTACGGCCGAGAAGCCCCAATACGGCCGAGAAGCTCATCCCCCGCAATATGCCGGTTTGGCATCAAGCCGAGACCTGATTGGTCGAAGGTCTGGACCCAACAGCCAATCATGACCAAGTATTGGCCGAATGCCGGTTGCCAATGCCACATCAAGAATGCGTCAGAAGTTCCAGAAAGTCATTGCCACCTACGCTATATATGAGCGTTAAGATACCTTGTGCAACCTTTGGTGGTTGTTTTGACGTGAACGCTAGCTTGGGAGGCTCAGACCGAGAACTAAGCTGAGAAAAATACCGTTACTACAGTGGAACAACAAGATGGGTAGTAGATCGATTAGGTTTCTCAACGAAAGCATGGTGCTCCAAAGTACGAGGAAATCATCACGTTTTAAAACAGTCATTCAAATCCAGGCGTACCCATGGTATGAAGGAACTATGCATCCCTGGGAACCATAAGCTCCGACATATTGTCAGGCCAGTCAAGCCTTGACAGAGCTGCTGGAAGGTTCAGAGCAGATATGAATGTCGTCCACATTATCCAAAAGTGTGGAGGAACACCAGACCAATGAGGTGCAACGATGACCCACGGCAATTCGAACGGCAAAGTTGCGGAATCATTCGCCACCCACCACCGTCAGCTGAACAGCGTGGCTCACGTAGCTCAGGTGACGCCCTCAATGTGTGAACCTTGTGCACTGGGAAACTCTTCAAGAGAGGTGTGCACACAGGTATATGTGTCGGCATCGTACCTCACAACCTGTCGTCTTCGTGAAAAGGACTTCGAGTTCCAGACAAAGTACATCCCGGAAATATCGTCAATTTACGAGGAATGACTTTGTCAGTGAAATTTGATGGCGGAACAGAAATCCTACCTTGGGATTAACATGCAATTCGCCCATCATAACAAAAAAATTCTTGCAATTACTGCTGAAAGTGGAAAGATTCATGCGGTGTTTCCGCCTGTGCCAACCCAAATGAAACGGGCCTCAGAACGTCTCTTCCTATCCGTCAACATATTTGCCTCATGTTCCAATACGGTAGCGAAGCATTCGTGTTAAACATTGATGTCATGCTGTCGATGATGATGACTTACGTTCCCCAACTGAAGAGCAAAACAACTTAGATAAGTAGGCATCCGCCAAGCTGAGACTCAACTAATTATTCGTATATCATCATCATAATCATCATCATCATCGACAGCATGACATCAGTGTTCAACACTGATGCTTCAATGCCGTACAACCATGATTTATTTGAAAGCCTTATTGTAAAGAAAAGAGTAAAGGGGGACGGGGAAGGGACTTAGTGCTAGTTTACCACAGTCATTCTGACGTGCTTTTACCTCCAGATATTCACTCAGGCGATATGAACAGAAACTGACAACAAGAACGCCACTGACATCGGTTGGCAGCCATATCCTGTAGTGTCTCCAACCAGGTACACTGAGAATCATGCGGACCCCATCCTGGAAGACCCAAGCGTTTCGTCATCTCCTTCATACTCCTCTTCCAAGTCAAGGGTTGGCTGCCTCTCTGTTTACGCCACTCTGAGTTGGGCAAAGAGAACAGCACTCTTCGGCAAACGATGGTTCGATATATGCAACACGTCCCAACCAACGCAGCTCCTAGTGCTGGACACATTCTTCCATGGAAGTACCCGTTACACAACCGAAAACGCGCTTTCTAACTGCCTCGATGGAGTCCCTCGCACTAAACCGTGTACCTACATTCTCCCGAAGGACTCTATCAGGTCTCTGGTTCCAGGAACTTTACACGCATTCGGCCTAATTGTTGCTCAACTCAGGAATTGATTATTTCAGCTTCTGAGGATTATGTCTCCCTGATGAGCCCCAAGCAAGGCCAAAACCCACGATGGACTGCTTTTGGGATATGAGCTACTTGTGTCAAACAGTTTGTTTACATTTTTAGCAACAACGTACAGCAGACGAGTGCTGAGTAAATGGTATGGACATATCACCTGACACTCAAGGTCACCCACAACTAGTACTGCAAAGCTCGGAACATAAACGGAGCGAGATGACAGTGAACAGTTTTGGAAGGAAGGTTGGAAGTTGAAACTTTTGATGCCACCATCGCTCCCGCTCTTCACCCCGCCGCTCCTCAGCTTTTGTCAGTGTACGACTTGTGTCTGTGGGTGCAAGAAGTCATCATCAAATTCAAAGCCTGGTTAGAGTGCGCCTATCCATCATCCGTGAGTTTCAGATTTGCGGCGAACAATGCTGGCGAAGCCCATCCATGCTGAAGGGCCTAGAAATGCCGGTCTGGAATCATCAACGGTACGCACCCTATGAGATTCGAACCTTGAACGTTCGGAGTAGTTCACTGATGAGTGATTGACCAGCAGTGTGAATGAATCATACTGAGGATATGGCGCCATTGCCGATAAGTTCAGATAGGTTGAGAAGAACGCGAGCTTGGAAAACCTGTGCAGGTTATTGCGATACATCCTACTAATGAGTTCCAATAAGTAATATGGTGTACACGGTCTACAGTTATTTTGACATTGGTTGAGTTAAGTTTAGGGTTGAAATCCAATATTCGAAATCGCATCAGCGGCCACAACATACGTGTTGCCTGTTCCGGTTATCCGCGGCGATGGATCACTTGGCCCGGATGGCCTGCACCCCGCGCTGTTCAAAGGAGGTAGCGAGGCCTTGGTGAACGGTCTGACGACCATAGTGCAGAAGATTTGGAACGAAAAAAGAATACCGGCCGAATGGAGCTCCTCGACCGTCATCCCAGTTTTCAAAATGAGTACAAGGACGTCATTTGAAGACCATCGTGGTATTAGTCTGGCATCCGTCGCATCTATGGCATTGGTTTGCGCCGGTTGTTCGATTATCGGGGGAGACAAACTCGTGAGAATCAAGCTGAGTTTCGCCCTTACCGAGGATACATCGATTGCATCTTTACCTTGAGACAAATTCTTGAACAGCGCCGCTCCTTCAGACATCCCACGTTAGTCATTTTTCCGGATTTGAAAGCTGATTTTGGTTTTGTCGATCGTCAGCAACTTTGGCAGTTTGGCAATCAAACGTGTCCCTCATGAGAGCACTGTATGCGAACTCCTGTGGGAGCGTACGAGTACACGGGAGGGTTTCATCTAGTTTCATTGCGGCCATCTATTCTATCTCGCCTTTCCTTTTCAATCTTGTGTTGATATGCTACTTTAAGTTTCTCTACGTGCCTCTGAAGTCTCGGGAGTCAAAGTGCTCCCCAGATGCCCGTTCACAGACACTGAGTATGCAGATGATATTGCTCTCCTTGGTTCAGATCCTTCCCGAATGCAGACAATTTTAACTAACCCAATAACTCGGCCACACGGTTTGAATTCACACCCCTGAAGAAGTCGCTGTATTAATAATACGACTTTTGTGGATAAAATTCCTTCTGAGCTTACAGGCCAGTTGGGTAAAAAAAACGTAACGTTCGCCTGCCAAAACAACCATATCCTAATCAATCGACACCTAGCCAACTCCAAAATAGTCAACGCACCGTAATTATCGGGTACTCCATTAGAATGAAATGGCTAGGGATAATCAGACCAACAGCTGGTCAGAACAAACTATAGACTAAAAATTCAGGTCACTAGCAGACGCTGAGGTACCGACGTACCTCCCAAATGGACGGAATGCAACTGTTGATAGTCTAATGATCACGTGACAACTCCCTGCGCAATCAACCGATAAGCTTTAATAAAAGCGTCGTTTAGTTGACCGTAGTGATTAGCTTTCAATTCGCATTTAGCCATCATCACATAGGTGCCCAAATAGATGGCGAGCACGAATTTGCTGGGCGGAAGGTTCGTGGTTCGAACCCGATCTCTACATCTCGACTTTTCCTGTCTAGGCTTAGGCAACTTGACAGTATCCCGGCTCTCGAGGGCATAGCAGCTAGGCACCGAAAGGACGCTACAGCTGGAACGAAAAAAAACTCACCACAAGCAGGCTGTTACTTCGCGAGGCGGCCACAGTGGAAGAAGTTGGACTCGACTCGACCGAATTGGTGTGGCGATTTGGGGTTGGCTGAGATGCGGGACCAGATTGATCCAGATCACGATTTGGGCACGGTGGATAAGTTATTGTGGTCGTGGGAGAACTGAGAAGCGGTCGACTCGAATCTCTGCCCAAACTCGCTGGTGTCACCGGGCTTACAAGCACAGACTGGCAGAAAGTAGTTGGCGTCGAGATGGTGGTTGGCAGTTGGATGGATAAGGGTTGTTTACTGGTCGAGTCACATGATGACGCTGAGGCAACGGAACTGGGAGGTAAATAAGATGTGAAGGGAGAGGAATAGTGAAGAAGCCATTCTAGCATAGAAAACGTGGAATTCCCAGAAGCACGCCAAGCAGCCTGGAGATCCGTGACGCACATGTTGGGTGGCGCTTGCGGTCCTGACGGAGGCAGTTGAGAATATGCCTGACGTGACTCAGAGGACATGTTGGATGTCGATTTGAAGTCAACCAAGGGGGGTGAAGTCATCTTTGCCACGGTCGTTGTGCAGGTAGAGGTTACCAAAGATATCTGCAGAGGTAAAGAATCCCAGTCAACTTGTAATACAGAACTATAAAAGGTTTTAAAATAAATATGCGGAAATGAGGATTAGTACGGAATCGAATACCACGGGCTAGTTGCATCCAGAGAGCTAGGTATTCGGCTCTAACGACAGATTTGTCAGGTAAAGCATGGTCACGAAAGCCGTACTAATCTCTGTCATTTAGACCATGGTAAGTACAGAATCCAAAGATCCCAGACATGTTTCTGTGCTTTCTGCAATTTTGAATACATACATAAGGGTCCGGTGTGTCAGAGGACACGAAGTGAAACCTTCAAAAAAATAACGACAAAATGTGAGCATCCCCGGAGTTTTGGTGGTCATCCATCAACAACCACGTCATTTGATGGCCTTCCAGACCTCTTTCTGAAGTACGAACAGAGTACGGTGAGGAAGTCCATGACTGGACATTCTTAACACAATCAGTGAAATGAATGCTGGGTCACAACAGTGCTGAGACGACAGGCGTACTGCGCCACGCCAAAAACTTCGTCACGAATTTGCTCATCACTCAAACACTGTTTTCAACCCGGTGAGCGATACTCCGCGGACAGCGGTAGTCGAAGGCAGAGACCAGGTTTCATTCCGACCGGGGAGAATGGTAATGTGCCGGACGAGTTTATCGGCTGTTGATCTGTTCACCGAGCTCGGTGACGAAACACGTCTGCAAGTCGATTGTCGAACTCGGCGAACAGCCATCTGATCAACAACTAACATGGGAGAGTGACTTATACGGGCTTTTGGGTACATGTCGGTTGAGAACTCGCTTGTCTTCAAAGATGGTGAAGGTCTATGACTGCCTCTTGAGCCTTCCTAAGGTGATGGCTTCATACCGCTGTGGTGCAGCAGTTACACAGAGCAGGCATCTGGTTCGGTTAGTGTGATATCATGGTTTGCTGGCAGTGTGGAGTTTTAATGGAGATTTCATCCTGTAAGTGAAGCCAACCTGTGCTTCCTGCCTAAGAGTGAGCCAATCACACTGCCGAGTAGCTGCTTGTGGTCGAACAATTAAGTGTTCAAATTACAAAACAGAAGGTTAGGGGTTCAAGACTCCCCGGTGCGCAATAAAGAAAGAATCCAACACTGATTACCGGTTATTCAGAATAGATCAGCTTCACTTACAAAACTAAATCTCCGTGAACATCGGTTCAGTCAAAGCAAGATGGCTCAATGGTTAGAGCGCGAATTTACTGACTGGAAGGTCCGTGGTTCGAACCCGACCTCGGCCTCTCGACTTCCCCTGTCTAGGCTTGAGCATCCTGGCAGTATCTCAGCCCTCGTGCTTCTTTCTGGTGGTATGGCAGTTAAGCACCGACAGGGTGTTACAGCTGAATGATATTCGACTAAAATAACTTATTCAATGGGCCCGAGCACAGATTTCATGATATTTTGGCCGAATATCACAAAAAAACGTGATACGTCCTGGAACCACCACCCAGAAGAGAGTTCGAATCCTGGAAACCATGTTCAGCTGCCCCCCGACGTTTATTTTAAGAAATATGAAGACTCAAAGAAGAGGCCACCAATAAGAGTTCCTCAAGGTAATGGATCCACAGCGAGAAACAACTAAATCGTAGTTTTAATTAGGACTTTCGACGACCGCAGAAACTCAGGTCTCACTGATGTGCCTGCAAAAGGCATAATACGGCGGAGCTGCGATTCAAACCTCCGTGAGCAAGACATCTTGCATCTTGAAATTGACCTTTTTCAGTTATGAGTTTCATCAATACAATGTCATAACTGCTCGCAGCTGTAGCACCCTTTCGGTGTCTAGCTGCCATGCCACCAATAGGTGGCACGAGGGCTGGAATACTGCCAGGTCGCCAAAACCTAGACAGGGGAAGTTGAGTGGCGGAGGTTGGGTTCGAACCGCGGATCTTTCGGTCAGTAAATTCGCGCTCTGCCCCCATGTTCGGGAATCAAAACGCAGCGCTGGCTACGTAGGAATCCCGCTGAAGGACGGTCACTCGAGGATCCAGCGGGCAGATCATGAAACATGAAATGCAAGATGCGCCGCGATGACGGTGCGATGTTGGGATGTGGAATCAAAAGCCACAGCTAAAAGAACTGCTGATTTTAGTGCCATTTTAGGTTTGGCTTGCCGATTATTAGCCGGCCCAGCGGTCTTGACCAATATTGCCCAATTCCCATCACGGTGCTTTCTACTAGCTGACAAACGACCTGCGGTTCAGTGCTGTGCTGATTCACCCTAGCACAAACCACGCGAGCACATTCGATAGAGGAAGTTGACATTGGTCACCACAAACAACAACACCGAAAAGCAGACATATCACGACCAGGAATCTCAAGGAGAGGTAAATTTGATACTTGTTTGGCTTGCGCACTAGAGAGGCTTAGTTTAAGGACAGTTGCACGTTCTCAGCTGTTTGATTGTGGAAGTGGGCATGAACAAATCAAGACTTTACAAGACAACAAACGAATGGAACCGAAGAACATATGAAAACCGGCGTTTGGACGTTGGACAGGTTCGCATGGGGAATCTCGGGAAAAAGTGAATTTTGTGTGGCCCTGATACGACTACTAAACCGCGGTGAGTTTCTTCTGTAGAAAGATAAGCCGGCTCCAAAAATGTGCCATACAGATAAAAACCCAACGCTACAGAAATCTATAGCAGGTGAAGATGATGTCGATCGGTTGGTTGGTAGCCGTCGACATGTAAAAAGATAGATACAAGTATCGATTTGTTGCCAGTCTCCAGACACTGGAAAATGCTAGAAAGATGAAGTTGTCAGCAAAAAAGGAAACCCCAAAAAGAGCGTCAGCAATTAGGAAGTAATGGCCTTGGTTTCCTGAGTCTTTGAGTCCTGGGATTCGTCTAAACCGACGGAAGACTGAACGACGATGGTTTACAGTCCCTGAGACGTGGGTGTCACTGGGTGGGAAGTGGGCGTAGCGTTGCTGCCGACAGTTACTGGCACCGTGGGCAAGTGACTGCCACTGTTGTTGTTGCTGAGTGAGGCAGTCTCAGCTGGAGTTGCGGATAATCGAGGCGCTGTGGCAGTAGAGCCGCTACTTGCGCCGGTTTCTACGGGAGAGAGGGCGAAAAACGGAGGTGACAATAATCCCAAATTTGTTGGCTTGTGCTTTAGTTCTTTATATATATA